GAGTTGACGTAACAGCGCCTGCCGAATGGATCTAGGGTCGTCCCTAATAGACAACAAAATGCTGGCTGAATATCCATGATGTAAAACACGGCATCAAAAACTTCCGGACCAATCTGGATCGAAAGAGTCAATTCCCCAAACATGAACCTTCTGGTCCCATCAAAAGCTCGAACCACCAAGTCACTTGGGGTGCACATAATCCCTCGGGTATCTAGCTTCAGTAAAGCTTTCTTGGGTAACACATTCAGTGATGACCCAGTGTCCACCAGCACGTGTGACAACACAGACCCTCTACATTCGATGGATATATGCAGCACCAGATTATGATTCCTTCCTTTGGGTGTCAAATCAAGATCAGTAAAGCCCAGCCCGTTACCCGCATTAACATGTGCCACTACTCCTTCGAGCTGATTCACAGATATCTCATGTGGCACATATGTTGTATTCAAGATTCTTAAGAGAGCATTTTTGTGTGCCTCAATACACAATAGCAATGACAGAATGGAGATCTTTGATGACGTTTGCTCTAAGTGATCTACGATCTTGTAGTCACTCTTCCTGATCAACCGCATGAACTCTTCCGCTTCCTTCAACAAGGACTCTTTCTCACCAGCCTGAGATCTCTCTTCGACCACCGCTTTTACTTTACCTTTATCAGCTTTCTCAACACTCACTTCGAGAGGAGAAAATACTCTTCCACTTCGGGTTATTCCCCCGGTCCCTACCAGATTGTCAACAGAATCCAACGGTGAACCTTCCGGTTCCTTCTTCTGACCATTACAATAGACCTCGGCTCTGTAATTCCACAGAATAGCCTTAGTACTCTCGTAGGGTATGGGTCCAGCTTTGGTAATTATGATAGTGGGCGGCCTTGGAGCTGCATAAATAGTGATTATCTTGTAAGGAATCAAAATTGTCGCAACTTCATTCTTCTCTTCGTCGACTATTTCCTCATCATTCTTCTCTGACACTCTATCAAACTGTAGAATACCATCATTCATCAGTTTCTGAACATGACTTCTCAACTTCCTGCATCCCTCAGGATGGATCAAACACTCTACACAAGCTCTGTCACAACCAGGGAATACCCCTCCTCTCAGCAATTTGTCCTTCAAAAACTCAACGGAGTCTTCAAATCTTCAACATCAGCTATCAATTTCAAACACTCATCCTCAATAATGGCATTAACCCTAACTGCCCCATGATTAGGCATGGGATTCTACACGACATTGGGTGCATCATGAGCGAAGTTGATGGCTTTGCTGTCTATAAGGTCCTGCACCTTATGCTTAAATGCTTTACAATTGTCAAATTTATGGCCGGGAGCACCGGAATGAAAATCACATCTAGCATTAGCATCATATCCGGGTGGTGGTGCACCAACCAAAGGAGCCAAAGTCCTTTTTTGAATCAATTGTAACTGCATCAAGTGTTGAAGCAACTGTGAGTATGGCATCGGCGGCGCATCAAACTGCCTGTTTACTGCTCTTCCCCGATCATGGAATCTGCGAGGAGCATAATTTTGTTGTTGCTGTTGTGGTTGTTGTGGTTGTGGTACTGTAGGAATTGTAATGCTTGCAACCTGAGGTTGCTATTGACGGTACTGCTGACCTTTACCCTTGTTTCTGTTTCGGGAACCCGAGACTGCATTGGTTTCCCCTTCTCTCCTTTTATTTCGAAAACTTTTCTTAACTCCTCCAACTGAGGATCCTTCACCGGCTTGAATTTTATCCAATTTGGTTATGTTCTCAACTCTTTCTCCTATAATGATTAGATCTGAAAAACTCCATGACATGTTGTCGATCAGCTTCTCGTAATACACCTCCGCTAGTGTGGTAATAAACATGTCTATCAACTCCCTCTCCACCATAGGCGGTTGCACTCTAGTGGCCCATTCACGCCATCTCTGGGCGTATTCTTTGAAGCATTCATTATTTCTCTGAGACAAGTTCTGCAATTGGACCCTGTTCGATGCTAGATCACTGTTGTATTGGTAATTCTTAACAAACACTTCAGCTAGATCCCTCTAGCTTCGGATGTTAACTAGCTCTAGCCCCATATACCATTTCAGAGACGGACCAGAAAGACTGTCTTGGAAAAAGTGCATAAGCAGCTTCTCATCGTCAGAATAGGCGGATATCTTGCGGTAGTAGGAACGAAGATGAACCCTCTGATAGGTTGTCCCCTTATACTTATCAAAGTCCGGGACTTCGAACTTCAGCGGAACCTTCAAATCTAGGATCAGCCCCAAATTTGCCATATCCAACCCCATAGAATTCTGATTCTCGTAACTCTTCATCTTTTCCTCGAGCAGCTTGAACCTCCCGTCTGCGTCAGATGGCAGACCGACACCAACATCCCTCATAGAGAACACATCCTCTTGACCATCTTCTTCCCACTAAGGGGCAGTATTCCCATGCAAAGCACACGTAGGTCCGGGAATATGAACTCCTGTCTGATTTCCTCCGCCCGGAGGGACAACTGTTGTTGGGATGGCGGTGTTAGTATGAGGGGTGACATTGTCAGCAGTAGGAGGTATAGTAGCAGTTCCTCCATGAAGCACACCACTCCCGTCAACCCTAGTAATTAACGGTTGCACCAAAGTTCTCAGCTACTCTTGGCCATTGGCGACCCCTTGCATCATATCCATGAACTGGGCCATCCTATCACAGAATTCTTAAAGTTCAGCCTGAATCTGAATCATAATCCTGTGTTGATTTCCCCTGGCAGCGTAGTGATGAGTCACTTGGTTGTCAATCCTGAAACAAGCTGAAAGAACCACATAGATAAGGTCAACGATTCCGGAGCACATGCGATGCAAAAATGAGAAATGATGCAATATGCAGACATGTAAATATGCGTTAGGGAAGTTTTCCCCTCGATTCTAGTTCTGCGAGAATAACAAGACAATAGGAAGCCAACAGATAAGCATAGAAAACTCCTCATAAATAAGATGAGAGCCATAAGTCAATGTATAGCTCATCACTGAATACAACGGAAACAAAATGACCTCAGCCAACAAATCTGGTGATGGTCAAGCTACATCATAACAACAAACTACAAAGAGAGAAACACCAAATCCGATGGAGAGCCTGGAAATCCTCCAAAAACTCTCTCGTATCTGAATGATCTGGCCTGTCTACCAACCCTTGGATGAGCAAATCTCTCTGGCTAATGATGCTCTACAAGCTCTGAACATAATCCTCCCAAGCGCCTTCACCAAATGCTTCGTCGAGCTTAGATCTCTTCACATCAGCTCTTGACTTATAGTCCTCCAAGGTTGCAAGAGCTTCATTCAGTCTGCAGTCACTTTCACGTCGGCGCGAGGATTCAACTATAACCTTCTTATCTCTCACCTAGATCTGAGCCTTTAACTTAGCAATCTGTTGTCGCAGTCCGCCTTCTCGCTCCTTGTTGTTATTTATAATGGCATTCCATTGGTCATTAAACTTGGAGATCTCTACATATGCTTTATCCAGCTCTTTCTTCTTGGAACTAAGAACATCACTGACACTCTTCAGATCTAAGCCCACACGCTCTCGAGCGTGAATCTGTGCAGTTAGCTCTCTACCCAACTTATTCACCAATTCAGTTTGCTTCTTAGATGCAAAAGTGGCTTGATTTCTCTCGCTTCGGAGCTGAATAATCTCTTTTTCCAATTCCTCATTTGCCTTACGCAACTCCTCCTTCTCGAACCATAGCTGATTATATTTCTGGATATCTACAGTAGTCGGCTCCTCAATCATCAAAGGATATAAAAGGCTCACAAGCTGGAAATGGCATCAATAACCTCCTAGCTCTCTCCTGAATCCAAACCATATAAGGCTCATAAGTTCTACTGTTACTCTTACCTAAAGAAACCTTCCCTCTACGGTGAATCTTGTTCCAAGCTTTCTCCACTCTGATCAGGGTCTCATTCTCAAGCAAGCTGGTGAAATACAGAGATTCCCGTATTTCCTCTTCCTTCGGAGGTTCCCTCAGAGCATACCCAAACTGCCTCACTGCAAGAGCTGGGTTGTAGTTAATACCTCCTTTCCTTCCAATCAAAGGGACATTAGTAAAACCACCACAGCTAAAGATCATCTGTGTGCCCACACTACTACAAAAAAGCTATTTCATAGCGTTTTTTTTTTTGCTTTTTGATAGCGCTTAAAAGCGCTATTCACCAGGCTGCTATTGTAAAAAAAAATTTGTTGATAGTGCTTTAAAAGAGCTATTATAATATTCGTAATTAATAGCGTTTTTTTTAAAAGCGCTATTATAGTACCGGTATTTAATAACATTTTTCCAAAAGCGCTATTATAAGACACATATTAGATAACACTTTCAAACAAAGCGCTATTATAGTACCGGTAATTTGCTCTGATTTTGATAGCACTTTCAAACAAAGCGCTATTATAAGTCACATATTAGATAGCACTTTTCCATAAAAGTGCTATTATAGTACGTATCGTTAATAGCACTCTCTCTTCAAAACGCTATTGTAGTACACTTTTTTTTACACAATCATTCTTTTGGTGTATATATATATATATATATATATATATATATATATATATATATATATATATATATATATATATATATATATATATATATATATATATATATATGGCATTTGCCTTTTACGACATTAGAATTCATAAAATAATAATGATGAAGCAGCTAAAATATTTGAAAATAAAATAATAATGACAAATGTGATACCATATATATCTATACCACTCCCATAATAAACACATAAGGAATTGTATCTATGTATTAATTTGGCTAAGAGTACTTCAAACCAAAATATTTTGCCACTAGTTATTAATTTGGCTAAGAGTACTTCAAACCAAATTTCAAACAAAAAGTACAATCACTTAGCTATGCATATTCTCTAAACTAATGAAAAAAATATCTAAAAAAACAAGAAAGGACAACAAAACAACATAAAGTAGCTAGTAACCACTTTGCGAACCAAAGCACTGCTACATCCAAAGATACAACCATTTTGCTAGCTAGCTAGACAAAATCACTGCTTCTTGTTTTCCTGTATCATAGAAAGAATATTGATTATGTATTATACAATAATCAGAAAACAAAAACCTGAAAACAAAATTTTAATATAGAATTAAAAAGTACTGCATTATGAAGAACATCATTTTACCTAACCAAGTTCAATGGTAACAACAGGATTCAAATGAACACCTTAAGTGAAACTGGTACAACCAATTCAAACTTTTAATATGCAAGTAAGGTATCCAGTATCTATATATTGTAGGCTTTAGAAAACTCACCGAAAATATCATCCATCATATAGGTAGCCCATTCCTCTTTGACCTCAGTTAACTTATCCTTAGAGTAGGTACGACATTTGTGGTCAGGAAAGTACTTCAAATATAAAAACATCAACAATTGTATTAGAACTAAATTACATTAATTTACAAATTAATAACAATTAAAATCACGTACATTTATGGGGATCATAATTTCATTTTCCATGATGACCTCTTTCATAAATCGCATTACAAAATATCCACATTCAATGCTATTAATTTGACGGGGACACTGCAAAAAAACATTTACATAGATTACTTTTACTCTACATAATTTCTTAAAAATAACATTAATTTGGACATACCCGAATTTTTGACCATGAAATTTTCTTTGTCTTGGAGACTTTAGGCACTTTTGAGTTACTATAAGCACGATAAATTTGCAATGCACTAACAAAATGAAATTAACTTCAAATGAGTAATTATTATAACTAAGAATACTTATATAAATGTTAAATTAAAAGAGTCTATACTTACTTCTCAAACTTGGTTTTTAAATTTTGATGTTTAGTTGGCTCACCATTCAACGGATCCATGTAATATATCACCTCAACATCGAGATTGATGACAAGTAATACCCAATGTTTCCTGCAAAACTAAAAGCACATCACATTGAGAAGTTAATTTGTTAATTCCCCAAAAGGAACACACACAAAATAACTACTTTCTCTCTCACCCTAGATTGCAAGGTGCAAGAATCATCTTATCCTTGAAGTACTCCTCATCTTTCAGAAGTATTTTTGCTATAGCATTTCCTAGATTATCCTTCCGTGATACATGTGGGGATATGAAGGAGAACTTATTTATTAATCCATTTGGACTAATAAACTTGTCATACAAATACCTAGAAATGAACAACAATAGTTGGTATTAATATATTTGTCAACATTGTAAATATTAATATATTTGTCAGATTAGAGGAAATTTGTAATAATAGAAGTACCTGGAAAATACAGTGATAATAGAGGGACTTAACCAATTATGATCAAGAATCTCTTTTATACTCTCTACACGTAGATGCTCTAAAAACTCTTCACCAAATATACTTTCCTCCATTTTTATTTGAATTAACGATCCAACCCTCATCATCTTCTTCACATACATATCAAGGAAAGGTAAATTAACGATCCAACCCTCATCATCTTCTTCACATACAGAATCAACACTTCGTTGGGTATTCTTAACTTTGTTTTGGGATTGATCAGGATTCTAAAAAGTTTTATTAATTAAGGTTAGTGATCTAATAATAAAACAAATAACGATCAAGAAAGTTAATAATAAGTAATTTACCTTTTCACATTTAACAACAAATTCAAGAAGTTTCATTGGCCATGGCACAATTGTTCCTATTGCTTGATAAACCATCGATACATCACCACCTTCAACAGATATAGGCAATTGAGCATTTGGCACAATAGCAACTTCGATATTAACCTTGACATATCCAGGTGGTAACGTCATGTCGTGCACTGTGTTACCTTTGTTTGCCACGAGCAACCAAACACTAACTCGAGGATGATAAATATATATTAACACGAAAGAGACCCTAAACCAAATGAGATACGAATAAAAACATTAATATAATTATTTACAAAACAAATATATATATGAAATGCTTTGAATTTATGCATTTTGCGCATGTTTTATACTAAAAACATTAATATCACTCCTCCTCAAAGGCCTCACTTGGTTTTCATTTCTTAGTCTATGTTAGGAAATCACACTGCGATTTTCAAGGTGTCACATTGCGGCAACATGAAGCTAGTTGTCGCTACTGCGAAAAAAGGTGCCGACAATGACAGAAGAGTCGCCATCATTCGTTATTTATCCCAACGAGGGAAAGGAAACAATCAGAAAAAACCTGCGAATTAGGATAAGATTGGTCATCGCAACCAAATCTCGGGTTCGGGAGTCGGTTACGCAAGGGGAAGGTATTAGCACCCCTCACATCCGTCGTACTCGACGGGATCCACACTTGGTTGTCTGTCTAAAGGGTGATTGAAACTATCTAACTAAAGTTCTGAGGCAAAAGAAAAGAAAAGTGACTCGACAGAGCATCGCCTCTCTGAGCCTACGTATTCCCGTCTGGTACGAGAAATCAGAGTCAACGTAGTTTGGATAACTACGGGTGAAAGGTGGGGAAAGGTTGCCCGTTAAGACATCGCGTCTTGTGCCTACGTACTCTCAACAGGTATGAGAGATCAGATCAAAACGTAGTTCAGGATGAAGAGAACACATGTTTTTTCATCTGTTTTATCCGAGTAAGGTTAAACTATCGTTCTAGCAGTTAGGGATGACGTCTGTTTGCGGTAGAACCAGAGCTTAACAGTACTCTTTATCTGAAAAGATTTTCCATTGTTACAGATTCCCAAGTGACAAAATGAGTTTGATCATTTGTTTTTGTGTCTTTTAAGGAGAAGTGTCTTTTGAGTTGTTTGTAATTAATATTGCACTAGAGACTATGACCTAGGAGCGAATGCGTCTCATATCGTCCGAAGGACATATGCTAACACTCTAGACAATTGGGAGGCAACCACCCAATCATCATTTCCCAAGTACTTAAGGCTCATAATGCACAATATTCTTCAGCCTTTATTGAGTATTTTGAAGTTGTTTTGAGATGAGAAAGAGAGAAGACAGACTCAATGGAAACTAGTTCAAAGCCTAGTAATTGTCATGCAAGATGGTCCCAAGGTTAGGATTAAGAACAGAATCCTATCCTATTTGTTATCATGCAAAGGATTCAACCTAATGTCTGTCATCACTATCCTTAATCAAGGAAGTGAGAAGTCCTAAGGGAACATGTGAAGAAAAGGAAGAAGAACAAGAACATTAAGCAAATGAGATGTAAATGTGAATGAATGCACATGCAATGCAACATACAAGAAAAGGGAGGACACACCAACCTGTAAATGCAAGCAAGAGATGAAAAGGGAAAATAACATCCAAGCAAAGGGAGGAAATTGTGTGGGGTGAAAACCTCCACAAGCTCATCTCAACCTTTAATGCAAGTAAAATGCAAAAAAAAAACCTACAACTTGAACATGGAATCAATCATAAACCAAAAGAGAGTTGGGAGAATAAGAGAAAAAAACCATGGTATCCCTAATGTCATTCAACCAATGTCTCATTATGATTGTGCAAAAAGATACACAAAATTGTCCTAAAAGTTCACCATTTTAGGACTTGCTTCAAGTATCTCCTCAGGAGAGACTAAGCCATCCCAAATGGTATCCTTACATCATTGGACAGAAAGGGAGACAAAAAGAGATTGCACAAACTCAATCACAAGATTAACAAAATAAAATGCAAGATAGTGTACAAAGTTAGGCAAAACATGGTTAATGAGAAACCCTAAAGGGAATGCCTAAAAGAAAAGAAAGTTTCAACAAGTTATAAGGTAAGTTAGAACCTAAAATTCAACCTACAAACACCTTGATATGCATATAACATGGATACACAACAATTGGATGCTCAAACAATGCACAAATTCCAAATAAGAACCAAACTAGCTCAAGTCTTAGGGTGGAAATCATACAAGGGTAACCTAGAGTGTAAAATACACTAAAAATAGTAAAATTATCCTAAAAAAAACTAAGTAAATTCCTATGAGACCCCTCTGGTGTTAGGAACCAGGGGCCAAGATTGGGGGGAAAAATCTAAGCCTAACTAGGCAAACAGAGGGAAAAGTTTAAGGGATGTCCTAAGAACTAGTCAAGCACAAATCCTAATCAAATGGTACTAAAAACAGAGAGAACAAATATCACAAAAATCAATCAAGATGTCAAGGATATGCACAAAAGAAATCAAACATTTATATGAAGTTTTCATCACAAAAGAAAATCATGAACAAATGATATGCAATTTTAATTCAAATTAAAGCCTTCGAAATGAATAATTGTTTATTTATTGAGAAATTTTCATAAAAATCAAACTAAAAATTCCTAAATTCAGTTTACATCTTGAAATACCTAAAAACCATTTTTATGAAATTTATTGACATTTGGAAGTATTTTATTTGCATTAAAATAAAATAGATAGCAAAATAAGAAAATAATGAAAAGAAAAAGAAATTGGAAAAAAGAGTGGTGCAGGAAGCAATCAATTCACGTGTATTCTATGGGCTTTGCATGCTGGGGGATTCCAAAAGCAATCAAGGCCCAGGTCCATTGCAAACTGTTTAATGAAACGATGCGCTTTGTGTTCCTATGTGCTAGATCAAAGTAAGCTCACGGTGAAACGCACGCATGGTCTTTGGATTGGTTCAGTCAACAAGATCTAAAGAGATATGTCAAGGACACGTGGTTTAGATGTTCAAATATGGTCAGTGGAGGAAAATGTTCAGATGACAGAGCACGGCAGCTTCGGTCATCTTCTCTGGTGACTGCAACAACTCAGGTGTACCAAAATCTCACCAAATCTCACAAATGAATAGCCTAATCTCATCTACACTCTTCACTGATCACGATTCTATGGTTATCTAAGCTTAACACGCGCTAAATCAGCCAAACCACATCAAAACAAAATCAAGCAATCTCAAAAAATTGTCACAAACATGGATTAAACCTAACCAGAATCCAACTATGATGATTAAGGATCATGAATATGCAACAATGGCGTGCAACTGTTTTCTTGAGCTTTTGCAACTGTTTTCTTGATCAAAATGGCTCCAAATCCCAATCTGAGAGTTTGTACATGATGATGAGTTTATATGGAATGGATCTAGATGAAAAGAAAGCCCAATCAAAGCCCAATTCAGTCCAATTGAAATCCAAAATTTTTCGTGTTGTAAGCTTCGTATGTGTGCAAAACAGAGCTGCAATGGCTTGATTTTTGACTCAGATTGCTTGCTTGTAATGTCAATTGATCCAATGACTGGAAATTGTTCCTTGTTTTGATATAATGGTGATTTTTGAAGGTTTTACTTCCATGTGAAGCAAGCTTTAAATTGCCCATGAAAATGCTCTCAATGTGCTATTCTGTAATTGGCATCTTGTTTAGAATGTTTTGTGGACTCAAAAAATGCACCAACTTGATAAAAATTGGTTCAAAATGAATTTATTTGATTTTATGGCATTTAATGCTTTTTCATGAAAATTTCCTCCACCAATCCTTCAATCCAAGCCAATCCAATGATAAGTTGATGTTTGATGATGAAATTGACCCCATTTAAAGCAACTTTGATGTTGGAAAAGTTTCATTTGAGGTGTGCAAAGCTGTGAAATTGACCTATGACAAAAATGACCTATAATTAAAGTTTCCCAAAATACCCCTGCCTTGCAAGCTTTATATCTTGAGCTCCACAAATCAGATGAAAGACTTATAGTAATTTTTCGAAAGCTAAGATTATAAGGAAAAACTTTCATGTTTGAGTCAAAGTAAGGAGAAACATCCTTCTAGGTCAAAAATGTCTTGGAAGTTGGTTGACTTTTGTTGACCAAAATCACATTCATCTGATGATCTATAACTTGTCAGCATCATAACTTGAGTTCTAAAAATCCAATGGATGAGTTCTATAACTAAAAAGAAACCTAGAAACATGCACTACAAGTTTCATGTTTGTGTCAAGATGAGATGAAACTTGTATCTTGAGATATGTGGTCTTGAAGTAGGCACTAAACAGGGGATTTTACACTGACAAGCTTAGAAACCCTGGCTTAGCAACTTCTCACACTCTTGATTCTTCCTGACTTGATCTTGGAATATCATCTTAGACATCTCAACACAACATTCCATGATCACAAAGACTTGGAATTGAGTCTTAATCTCCCTTAATTCAACAGTTGACTTAGGGTTAACCAGATGAAAACCCAAACTGCATCACCTTTGACTGTGACTTCTTACACTTGATATAATGACTTGCACAAGCCCCTTAATGACCCTAAAGCCATCCCATAAGCTTATGTAATGTTCTCCATCCCTAAATATGGACTCAATATCATCTGATGATTTCCACATGGCCTCCAAGATAGGAGGCAAACCACAACTATTCATCTGCCTTTTCAAAAGACTTTTAACTTTCTTCTGAAGATGATAAACTCTTGATAGCTTGAATGAGACCTCTTGCTTAGGCTTATAAAATTTGGTAATCTCCTCTTGCTAGGCACACCTCTCTCAATCCCTTGTAAATGAACAATGGTATGCAAATGCTAATGTTATGCAATGAAACATAAACCAGGTAAAGAAAAGGTTGGGAAAATTTTGGTGTGCAACACTAGCATAGATAGCTTCCCAGTTTTCATTTCTCATTGCATGGCAGTTTTCATAGCATCGCCATGCGGCTACATGAAGCTAGCACAAATAGCTTCCCGACCTCTACAGTGTTCTTCCTACTCACTGTCCCACATTACTACTCTACTGTTTCCTTTGAGATTTTGTTTCCAAGTTATCATTTTTGGATAATAAGGTAAGATATATTGAACAATTAAGAGAAGCTCAACTCCATTATACCCCATATGGGGATTTTATGTATAAATTGAGGAGTTTCATGTACTTTTTCCATGAGGAAATTGACTAGTTGAGCTTGTACAACCTAAAACATTTATATAGTATTGCTATTGAAGCACTCTTTTCAATTTAATTTCATCACTATGGATTGAATTTCTCTCACTAAAACTTGTGAATACATGCATTCTAATGCTGCCATCAATCTTTCAAGGTCACATGGATGTATAAGTATGCGTTTTGTATAACCTATAATACAAATTATTTAAAGAAGGCAATTACCTCGGGAGTATTACCAAATGATACAAGGTTGCAAGAACCTTTATCACTTAACTCTTGCCTCTGTGTCCCTTTTTGAGGCTGTTGCAACCTCTTGGACACTTGTTCAGGTTGTTTCCTCTCTGCCACTTCTTCAGGTTGTTGCAAGCTCTGTGTCACTTTTTCAGGTTGTTCTTTCTCGGCCACTTCTTCGGTTTTTTGCCTCTCTATCTTCTCTCTATCCAACTTATCTCTCTCCAGCTTCTCTCTCTCTAGCACCTCCAATCTACTTTTGAGTGTGATGCAAAAGTCATACAATTCTTGAAAGTCCATTTGTGTGGGGCGAATTTGGCATGGTAATATGTCCCTAGAACATACCCCAAAACCGTAACTCCTAATACGCCCAGAGTAGTTTGGGAGATTTAGAGCCTCGAATCATATGTCCGTAGGACCAAGGTCTTGTCTCTCTTCTTCAGTTAGAGCTTCTGTTAACTTCTCCTGGCATCAATAAGTATAAAAGACTTGTTACAATAAAATCAATTTGAACACATTCATTAAGATTAATCGAGATCCAAAATATTTTCATTGATCCAAAATATTAACATTCGACTTACACATTGATCCACAACTCTTTGAACATTCACATTATCAATCACCCCATTCTTATTGACGCGGGCAGCCTTCCACACTTGACTACGATTTATCTCATCTTCTCTCGACTCTTCTACCTGTATATAGATTTTGAACAATTAACATAGCAATTAAAAAAATAATTTATAATCTTGTACACTACTTTTATACACATACTTACCATATCCGCTTCAAGACGAGCACACCCTAAACGTGACTTTCTATAGGGATGTTGAGGATTTAACGCTCTTTCTCGATTTTCGTTACTAACTTTCTGCATTAAAAGCACTATAAGACATTAGTAGTAGTGTTACTGTTTTATACCTGTGATTTTTGATTAATTATGCAGAGAGGAAAATATGAAAGTACATAACTAGAATCCAATGGAATTTCATACTTGTAGGACATTTATAATGAAATATTTTACTATTAAAACAATAACAAAAGCATGTATGGAACCTAGGAGTAATGGTGCTCTCGTTGCAGTAACAACTTCAGATGTCTCCTGCATTGAGAGACATTTTAATCATTTCTGGTAAGATCATTATATATTTGTATGTAACTTGTACTTGTTCATTCAACAGGGAGATCATAGGCAATTATGCAGATTTAATCTTCGCAAACGTTGATGAGATTAGAGCTCTTTGCAAAATCCATCAGCATTCCATCAAAATATATCACCTTTAAAACTAGAGTCTTCAGACAAGGTATCTTTAGGAGTATGCTTAACAAATATTCGCATGCAACAAAGTTTAGTTCTAGATAACTCAACATTCCAAATGGAGGAATATCTGTAAAATGATGTTTCGATCCTGCAAGGACAAACTGCTTAATGCAAACACACAGCTTTAGAATTTCTAGATTAATACTGAGAAGTTTACAAATAAACATCTCAATTTCTTGCACACTCTTCTCATTATTATATAGACTAATATCAGCAGATACTAAACTGTCTGTGTCTAACAAAATGGTATTCGATACAAAACCAGAATAACAAAATTTTATAAGCTGTGAAGCATAAAACTTAATTTCAACATGTGAATCACGAGAGACAGAAGTATACTTTATTGAAACCACTTCAAGTAGAGGTACTTGTAAAGTGACACTCTTCACACCTGACCAAGTGCAATCTAATGTCTCATACTTTCTAAGAGCTGGGAAATTAAGTGCCAACGTTTCGGATTCATTAGAGGAATCACAGGTAATTTTAGTTATAGACAACTTCAAGATCGTCAGGGATGATAGACAAACAAAGGAAGAAATTGTTATGCCAAACCTATTCAGCACCAATTCCTCTAAGAACTTGCATTCTGTACGGTGGTTTACGAGGTATGTTAGATTTGAGAAGTATCGGTACAATAGCAGCTAAGTGTTAACATTGCTATGAAAATTTGTATGCATGATGGATAGATATAAATAATGAAAAGTTATTACCTGAAACTTTTCAGTCAGACGCTGAGATACAAATTTATCCCAATCCTCTTGTTTTATACAGTAAGAATATTTTGTCGATCGATGTTTAACAAAACCACCCTTACTATCTCTTAGATAGAACTTTGCCATTTTTGTCTTGAATGCCCTATGCAACTTTCCAGCTTCTTTATATATAAATGCACGATGTTCTTCGCCAATTACAAAAGCTTTCTGCAAACAACTCAATTTATTAAACATTGTTCAGGTTTTTTAAACATCTAAACAGATAATTTATGGAATTAAAATTTTACAAAAAGGTTGAGTGAGTGTGTTACTTCAATTTCATCCCAAGTGTCGATACAAGTGTTTGATTCCAGCACGGACACGCCTTATTTCGGAGCTGTCCATGCTACATAGATTAGAGATACATGTGTTATGTGGCAAAGACTGTTTATTTGTACATACCTGATGTATTCATAACTGATCAAATGTTTGATACTCAAGAAGTTGTACAACATTGGGTTATATAGGTTAAGATTAGAAACTATGTTACTCATTACTCCATAGGCAAGGAAAAAGAGATGAATTCAAAAGTAACTATAAATTGTGACAAAGGTGGATCAAGATATGGTGGATACTTCCTAACTTCAATGCCAATATTATTAAGCTTATTCACAGGACAACTTCTGCTGACTGTGTGGAAAACTTTAGACCCATAGCTATTTCCAACTTCAAATTCAAGCTCATATCTAAATATTACGGACAGGGTTGGCCAAAATCATGCCATTCTTGGTGTCCAAAGATTAAAAAAAAGTTTCATTTAGGAATCAAAGATAAAAGATTGTTTATGTCTTTCTTATGAAGTGGGTTAATCTTTTGAACAAGAAAACTCATGGTGGAAATTTGGCCATTAAGGTTGACATATCTAAGACTTTTAGCATTGTTGTTCTTTGGAGTGGTTGCATTTAGTAAAATTATATGGAAATATGTTATTTTATTCTTCTGAAATGCCAAAGTGATGAAATCTATACAAAGAATCCAGATATATAATGGATAGAATTATCTTAATATTACCTAACTGTCAATTAGTTGACACCAACAACCCAACACAATAAATAGAGCTACAAAATGACATAGGCATGCAATATATGTAAAGCAAGCTGGGTTAAATAGATTCAAAGCCAATGAGAACAAGCCTGTTATGACACAGTGATGACAGCAATGGTCCATTCTGTGGTAGAATGAAATAGGTAGTTTGTTGTTTTACTTGTTCTATAAAATGGAAGAGATATTTTGGTTTTTTTTTTATGATATACATGGCGTGGTGACTTCAGATCATGTTATTGTAATGGTTTGATTTTGGTTATGATTTCCATGAACCTGTGGTAAACATGTATTGACTTAATGCAATGAAGGTACTTGTCTAAAAGCTTATTATGAGCCAGCCTAATGTGAACAAGGTCTTTCTGAGCTTATTGAGCCAAAAATAATTTTGGGCTCTGATTTTATTTGTCAGCACTCTTATATCCAGTCTATTAAACCCAGTAGTTGCTAAAATATTTTAAAAGAAGATGTGGATGCCTTTATTGTTGTACTTCCCTAGTCATTAACATAAACATTGCTTTATGGTGGGGGTCTTAATTTAAAAAAAAACCATCCCTGGGGTTGGTACTCCTACCAATTTGACAGTACTATTGATTGCAGAACATGATATTCAAAATTAGTGCGGCCAAATAATTGTTACCTAAGAAAATTTATTTAATGTACGACAAGGACTAGTCATAAACTAATTTGATTCATATACATGAATGTCACAGCAATTCCACTACAAGATAGTGTGACACATGAAAATCAAAAGTCAGAGGCATATCTCAACAACCCTATGAATAATTATGATATTAGGCAAAGTTGCATACTTAACATAGAGATGTCATGAACTAGTGAACGGAAGCAACGAGGCTTGGATCATTTCCAACCCTTTTGAACAAAGCATGAAGTTTCTCATTCACCAAAGAAAGTAGATCATATATTTGTCAAAATTTTCTACAATTGTGGTTTTAAATGCAACAAGACTATAATATTAATGTTCCCAATGCAATTGCAACAGTAACAGTGACCACTGTCTAAGACCTTAATAGAATAGTTAAGGAGATAGGTGGATTACCAGAATTCATCAAAAAAGTCCTTATGATATCCAACTTCTTTCTGTATCTATTTGAAAGCTCCTCAAGGGTACAAATCTAAGCATTGAAATTTTCTTGAACTTGACCAAACTCATGTTTCCTTAAAGGATATTGTTGCACCCCAAAATTTGACCAACACTTATTTACCAAGCTTGTGTTCACTAGCATGATCATCTGCTTCTCATTGATATGGGTGCAGTAGATCAAGAGGTATGATTACCCAGCAAGAGTTGTATGAGACTTTTAAGCTAGCCAAGAAGGTTACTCAAGTGTTCAAAGGTTGATACCTTTGTCAGAGAAGTAAAGAAATCCTCAGAGAGATTGGTTGAAACCAAGGTTGTGTGTCTCATAACTTGAGAGTTGTGGGAGCCCCTCAGATGATTCTGAGACTATGAGGATGGACTTGAAGCTTTGAAAAAGCTTATGAGATGTCTTGAAAGCCATCATGAAGCCTAGAGAGGTCATTGTACAAGAATTCAGAAGACTCAGCCATGAGTGGTGGAATTAGGGTTTGACTGGGTCAACCCTAGGTCAACTGATGATTTGGAGAGGGTTGAGACCTAATCCAAGAGCCATGTGATCATGGATTGATGCATTGAGATGCTATAAGGATGATTCATAGACCAACTCATCATGATTGAGGAGTTTGAGAAGTTTCAAGCTAGGGTTTCTAAGGCTTGACAATGTAAAATCCCCTAGTTTGATCCCTATCTTCAAGGCAGTGTAGCTCAAGAGGTGATTGTCATCTCATCTTCACCACAACATGAATGTTGTAGAGCTTGCTCTTAGCTTTAATTTTAGTACTAGAAGTCCTTGATAGGATTTGTAGAGCTCAAGTTATGACTTTGACAAGTTACAGGTCATCTGAGGTATGTGAATCTAGGTCCTTGAAAGTCACCCAACTTGCATCCAACTTTATCCCAAGTAGGATGATTCCTATGAATCCTTGGTCAACATGAATGTTGTAGAGCATCTTATTAGCTTTCTAGATAGTACTAGAAGTCCTTTATAGGATTTGTAGAACTCAACTTATGGCTTTAAAAAGTCAAGGGCATTTTGGTCATTTGGATATTATAGGTCATTTCAAGCATAAGGCCATATCTCCTATTTCCAAGCTTCAAATGGAAAAATCTTCAACATCAAACTTGCTTAGAATGATGTTTTAAGGCTAGTAGGGAGGTCATGAGGTGTTGAAAAGGATTGTATCAAAAAGTGATAAAAATGACCTAAAATGGAGGCATAAGTTAAATAAGTTGAAATTGGAAATTGGAAATCCCAAGTTACACATCCAAACCATGTCATATAATAGGTCATTTTGACTCTAAAAGACATTCTAAAAACAATGGTTCAGCCACAATTTTGATTTGAGGCCTAGATCATGGGGCTGCTTTGGAAATGGCTTGCTTGCATCTTAAGGCACAAAGGCAAAACTTAAGAAAACTCAATGAACAAGTTAGTTATGCATCTCAACACATCATATATCTCATATAAGGAGTATTTCAAGTCAGTTACAAGGGTTGCAAGGGCTATGGCATGAGATAGCACATAAGGAGAAGTGAATTCATAATATCATGACATGAGAATCCCAATTTCTCATGGGAAGGTGCTAGATGGTTCTAGATGATTCTAAACCACTCTATATAACCTATAGAACTTGCTCAGATGCAAGGTTGGTGTAAGATTTGAGAGAAGAGGGAGTTGGCCATTTCACTTGCCTCCATTGCAAGTTGAAAGTGAATTCCATATTCTGAACCATTTCCATTCATTCTTTCCATCTTAACACACTCCATTGATCATATTGAAGTTGTGCAGATCAATTTGAGAGCAAAACCATGATGATTTGAGAAGTTGGCAATTGAATTTTCAAGGTTGCAAGTCAGAATCGAATTCTGAGATTCAAGCATTCTCCATCCAATCTTTTGCAAACAGTAGCAAGATCAGCATCCAAGGAAGGTTTCTGAAGAATTACAAGGCTTGAAGTGAAGGTTTTCACCATCTGTTGATCAAGAAATACCAGGTTTGCAAAATTCACTCTACACCATAATTTATGCATCTTTAGGTAGATTGGTTAGGTTAGAAAGGTTAGAGACCAGTAGGTGATCATTTCTGGAGAGTTAGGGATCAATTGATGAAGATTGAGTTATGGACACCATTTTTGTTTTGACCAAGAACTCGTGATATAGTGAGACATAACATGAGTTTGATAGCTAATTTCATTCAGTGTGAGTTGGTGAGTATTCTGATGCAAGAAAATTCAAGAATAATTGAAGTTGAGGATTGAGCTTATCTTGGATTCATTATCAGGTTTTAAGCTAGAGGCCATTTTAATAAAATCTAAGGCTATGGTCGTAATCGGCATGAAAAATAGAGCTGGTTAGTGTGTCGAATTGTTAATTTTGAGCAAGAAATGAGAAAGCATGAATGGAGGGAAGTTTGTGTATGGAGCTCTGCTTCCATGGAATATTGCTACAAACCCTAGCTGGAGGTTAGTGGTGAGTTTATAAGCGTTGGATTCAGGGAGACCCGTTGACTGGGAAGTGATCTGACGGACAGGATTTAAATTCGTGAGACAAATAGGGAAATACTGATAGAATGAAACGTAGCGTTTCATTAAATCCAAGCTTTTGGGCTTAGTAAAGAAACCACTATCCCCACCCCCAATCCTGGCCCATTGTGAAAATGTACTATATTGCTTTACTTTTCACACCGTGTATTTTCCATTTTTTCATTCATTTTCTAATTGATTTTCTGAATTAATATGGGCCTAGCACGCATGACTACCCACACCCCCATTCTGAGCCCATTGATGAATTGAACTGGACATAGTTACTATCTGCACCTAGTTTTATCTTTTTCATTTCTTTTTCTCCATTTTAGTTCAATCTTTGAAAAATCATAATAAATAGAAAATTAATGATTTTTGCATGGGAATTTTTTCTCCCATTTCATGATAATGTCTAGAAAATTTTCAAATAAAAATATTTGCATTTCATGCATTTTTAGTATTTTTTGTATATTTTCCATTTTAATAGCTTTTTAATTCTTTTATGTTGATACATGGTTTTGTAGATTTTT